GAAGCTGTTCTTCCTGGGAAAGGATGCTGCGTGCACGTGAGCCGTGCTGTCACCCGCTGTGAGGCTGCCTGACATCATCGTGATTCCTTTGTGAATCCTCCTGAGGTCAGCCGCAGGACCCTGAAGGCTCTGAAATGGGTCTGAATAGAACATCAATTACGCGTACTTGAGGCTATCTTGATGCCCTAGCCTGAAAATTCATTCCCCAATCTGTTTTTCATCTCACATTTCCCCAGGTAGGACATTCAGTAGAGCTCACTGGAGATTATGCAGTAAACTCAAAGGAAGGTATAAAACTCCTCCAAATAATAAATGCCAGCAATATTAAAATGCCCTGATTTGAACTATATGAAATGCCTCACATTATTAAATTCTCAGGGAGGAATTAAAGTCTTAAAAAAAAAAATCCTTTCTTTTGAAGGTTGAGCTCTAAAGAAATTAAAAGCCCACAATTATTTCCTGCCCAGTTTCTGTTTGGTTCAGGGTCAGAGGGGTCTCAGTCAGTGCTGGTGGTGCAGTCTGGCTCTTTCTGCGGCTGCCTCTACTGCAGAGCAATCCTGGCTTCAGGCTCTCCAAGATGTCACTCCCTTGGCCAGTTGTCTGGAGTCCGTGACTTGTGAACTTACACTGAGCTGGGAGAAACCCACTCTCCTGGGGTCAGTCCCACTGCCACGGGGCCCTCCCCACACCGGGCATAAGTCCAAGGCTGGCTGAGGCCTGTGTGCTGTGGTGGTTGCTCTCCTCAGAAGCTGCTTCTCAAAATCATTAAAAGGAAACTCACATCTTAGAGAAATCTCTGCCTAACGTCTCCTGGAGTCTCTCCTGAAGAGAGGCCCAGTGGCGCTGAAGTCACTGGCAAGGACTGTGATGTGAAGAGCAGCCTGCGGAGCTGAAGCAGCAACTAAGCTGCTGCGGACATAGAAGGCAGCACCCTGCAAGGCTAACGCTCTCTAACCCACGGCCCCAGGCTTTCGACTTTCCTCCAGGGGAGAATGGCGAGATGGAGAAGTAGGCAGGCGGAGAGGCATCTTTTCATTGTAGAGAAGAATGATGGGTTTCAAGTCGACCAAACATGGAGAAGCCCTAAATGATTACAATCTCTCTGTAAATCATGGAAAAGATTTAACTCAGTTTAGCGGAAAGTACAATCCTGGTCCTCTTTAAAAAAGGAAATACTTGAAAGGCATGGCAAAATCACAGACAACTGAGGGTCTTAGGCCTGAAGCTTTATTTTAACCTAAAGTTAAACGTTTAAAACGTTAACCCCAGTAAAAGATTCAGGGTAAATCTACTCCTGTCAGTGAGAGAAAACACCAAACTTTATCTTGTCATTGTATTCAAAATCTAGGCCTTAAAGACTATGAATTTCACTCCAAGATGAGTGATTTCTGCAAAAAGGTATTTAATTAAAACATTTTTTAACATTTAATTAACAAAAATAAATGGAAAACTCTACCAAAACTTTTTGAGGCTTAGCCAATTTAAACTTGTAGTTATTATATTACATTGGAGAAGAGAGCAACTATAGAAAATGGTATAAACCTAAGTGTCAGGAAAGAACAGGAAACCAAGAAAAACATGTTTCATGGCCTCCCATTTGCTGTTCTAGACACTTACCAAGAGCAGTAGCTTAGACCAGGGTGTGACTGATGTATGGGGTAAAGGTAACACCTTTGACCTCTTGTAGGTTTGCAAATCTTCGAATAATATACGAAAGTGTCACCTATCCTGGTATATAATAAGGCACTCAATTCTTAGGAAAGATTTGCGTAAAGTTTGACTTTGGTATAAAGAAATTAGAGCTATTTAGCAAATTGACTTTAGTGTTAATTTTATCATTTACCGTACTAAACTGGGATTATCTAGTTTTAAGATTTGGTGAGGTTTTGTTTCTGGGTTTTTGAAGAGATAAAGCCTCCTCTACGTTTCACGCACATTGAGGACTATCTTTCTAAATCATTAAATAAACAAACTAATCCTTACTGGCCTCCCAGGAACAAAGTTAATAATTATTTAATCCACAGGAGGTGTCCTTATCTACTTCCAAACTGCTTGGGTTTTTGTTTTTAATTCGCACTGGTTTAAAATGTACAAACGTGGGCACGAGGCTGAACCCTGGCCACCGCCGTAGCGGATCACGTGCCCATGAGCGGCCACCCACACCAGGCACTGCCTGAAGTCACACGGCACCTGTCTTCCTGTTCTCTAACTCTTTGACCAAATTATATTTTAGAATTCTCCTGCAGATGTGTCAGTTTGAAAACTCAGGCTTTCAGTGAAACAGTGGGTTTTTAAACGGGGACTCTAACGTGAGTTACCTGAAGACTATGGAGGTTAAAGTGTTCGAGAAAGCTGGGCTGTGGAAGTATGTACGCTACATATATGTAAAAGGCTTTTAACCATATAAATGTAGACAGGAGTGTGTAATAAGTATTATTCCACAACTTTAACTTCATTTCAGTATGTCTTAGAAATATGCTCACGTTCACACTATAGAGCTACTGTTTTTATCTGCTGCAGAGTACCGCATGGTAGGAATTGGTATGTACTAATTCAATGATTTCTGCATTTATGTACAATTATGCTGTTTCTAACTTCTTATTTCAAAAAACACACATTCCACTTTCACATTCATTTACCTGACTCTTAGGACACTCACATGACTGCTTCTTTAGGGTGGATGCCTAGAATCAGAATTGTTAAATCAGAAGCTGGACACATTTTAAAGATCGATATACACTGACAAACTGTCCACCCACAAGCTGTATTGACTTGCACTCCCTTCGGTGATGAGAGTGCTCCTTTATTCACATTAACTCCAGCACTAGCTGTTCCCAACCCTTTAACATCTGCCATTTCAAGGGACTGACAAATAGTATCTCACTTTAATTTTTTTTGAGGAAGATTAGCCCTGAGCTAACATCTGCTGCCAATCCTCCTCTTTTTGCTGAGGAAGACTGGCCCTGAGCTAACATCCATAACCATCTTCCTCTACTTTCTATGTGGGATGCCTGCCACAGCATGGTTTGATAAGTGGCGCCATGTGTGCACCCGGGATCCGAACCAGCAAACCCCGGGCCATCAAATTGGAATGTTCAAACTTAACTGCTGCACCACCAGGCCGGCCCCAGCATTTGCCTTTTAAAAGAAGTTCTTGGGGGCTGGCCCCGTGGCCCAGTGGTTAAGTTCTCACGCTCCGCTGCAGGCGGCCCAGTGTTTCATTGGTTTGAATCCTGGGCACAGACATGGCACTGCTCATCAAACCACGCTGAGGCAGCGTCCCACATGCCACAACTAGAAGGACCCACAACGAAGAATATACAACTATGTACTAGGGGGATTTGGGGAGAAAAAGGAAAAAGATAACATCTTTAAAAAGAAGTTCTTGTACTACCTTTTCAATTTCTTCTAAGATGTTTGATCTATTTTCATTTTCCACCTCTTGTCAATTTTTAGAAACTATATTATTAAAAAAAGTCATCACACTTCATCTAGTTTTTCAAATTTATTGGAATAAAGTTATACAATCATATTGGGAGCAAATTGTAAACAGTCCTCCCTTATAATTTAAAAAGTCTCTTTTTAAAAATTTAAAAAGTTTATAGGTATCTTCTTTCTACTTTCTTTCAGTTTATCTTTTTTTCTGGCTTCTAAAGTTAAATTTTTACTTCACTTATTTTCAGTTTTCTTACTTCCTGAAAAATAAATTAAAATCTATAAAATTTCCTGTAACACCTCACTTGGCAGAATCCCCCAGGTTTTGAGAACTAGTTTTTAATTCTAAATACTCTGTAATTTTTGTTTTCCCCTATAAATGAGTTATTCAAAAGATAAAAATTTCCAAGTGGACAGGATTTTTGTCATTAGTTTTATCACATTTTGAAAAGAGAACACGGTCTGTATGATCTTTGTATTTTTTTACCCTCATATGAAGAATTTTTATAAATGTTCCAGAGATTTCCAAAAGAATATGTTTTGCATTCATAATGGATACAAAATATTTATGTTAGATGATATCTTCCCTATCCTGACCTATTGATGAGAAGTGGAGGGGCCTGAGTTTTTGTTTTAAAATTATTACAGAAAAAAACTGACTTTTGGGGGCAGGGCACAGTTCCATGAATTTTAACGTATGTGTGGATTCACGCTACCACCACCACAATCACTATACAGAACAGTGCATCACTGAAAAAACTCCCCTGCCCAGCCTCTTCGCAATCAAATCCTCCCCTGACCCCAACACACGGCAACCACTGATCTACTGCCGATCACTCCAGTTTTGCCTTTTCGAGAATGTCATATAAATGGAATCATTAAGTATGTAATCTTTTGAGATTCCATAGAGATACGACCTTTTGGCTTCCTTCACTTAACATACGACTTTGAGATTCTGAGATTCATCCAAGTTGTACACGGATCAATAATTGGTTCCTTTTTATCACTGAGTAGTATTCCACTGTGAGTATCCACCACCATTTATCCACTCACCTGCTGGAAGGCTCTTTGGTGATTATGAATAGAACGGCTGTAAACACCCATGTATAGGTTTTTACATGAACATGAGTTTCCATCTCTCTATGGTACATACCGAGGAGTGAGACTGCTGGGTCGCACAGCATGCTTGATGTTTAAAGACACTGATAAACTGTTTTGAGTGACTGCATCTTTTGCATTCCCACCAGCAATCTATGAGAATTCCAGTTGCTCTGCATCCTCACCAGCATTTGCTAGTCAGTATTTTTAACTTTTTGCCATTGAGTGCATAGTGGTAGATCCACTGATTTTGAAGATAGATGTGTTAAAGTCTCTCTCATAGGTGGTTTGTGTATTTTTCCTTGTATTTCTAATTTTCACTCTATAAATTTTGAAATTGAGTTTTTGGATTGTAGATACATTTAAAAACTTTTTTTCTGCAAAACTGTACTTTTTTTTCTTCTTGCTGAGGCAGATTAGCCCTGAGCTAACATCTGTTGCCATCTTCCTTCGATTTACATGTGGATTGCTGCCTCAGCATGGCTGATGAATGGTGTAGGTCTGTGCCTGGAATTGGAACCCGTGAACCTGGGCTGCCAAAGCAGAGAGCCCCAAACTTAACCACTATGCCATGGGGCCAGTCCCAAAACTACACATTTTCTTAGCCAAAAAGGAATGTTTTTTCTTTATCCCATTTTATGGTTTTCATCTTGAGTTCCATTTATGCTACTTAGTCTAAAGTTAACACGGCCACATACACTTTTGTTAGGATCAGCCGGATATACTTTTCTTTATAATCCATTAGTTTTTTAGATTGGTTTTCCAAAGAGTGTATGGTTGGATTTTCTATTTTTAGTCAAGCCTAAGGAATTCCAGCATTTAACTTACATTTATTGTGAGGAAAACATTTGGTATTGCTACCTTGTGGGGTTTTTTCCCTACGTAGCTTTCTTTCTTCTTTCCTGAATTTTCTTAAATTTTAAATTCCATCCCCCCCTTTCCTAGTAGTTTGGCAGCCACTAAAGTTGTTGATGTCTATTTGCTCTCTCTTCTTGCCTGGGCACAGTAAGTCTGCACTTCCTTGCTCTGTTGAACTCAGGCATGACCATGTGACTTTCTTTGGTCAATGAGATGTGAGAAGAGACGTGTTACATGTAGGCAGAGGCTTTAAGTCAGCGTATGCTGCACCACTCTCTCTTTCCTTGGGTGTTGCAACCAGCCATACTCCAAATAGTGCTTTGCTGGCTGACTCTCCGGTTGAGGGCGATATGGAGAAGGGGTCCTAGCCAATCTGAAAGGCATGCATTATGAGCACAAATAAACAGATGTTGTGTTAAGTCACTAAGAATTTGGGCTTGCTACCGAAGCATTATCTAACCCATCCTTACTGACAGACCTTTAACTTTAAATATATTGTAATATGCTTTCCTATCAACACCTACGGCTAAACACTACATCCTTCCCTTGAATAAAACAAGATCCAGAACATACTTTCACTTTCTTTATCCTGCCCTGCCTCCATTCATGCTAAAATGTAGAATTTTAGTTCACTTTATTTTCACACACGCATTATTATTTATTTAGACTTCTGATTATAGGTCATCTCTGGTGATTATAAAGTGGAATGGCAGGTCACATGGCATCGTCAGTTTCATTTAAAATCTTCTTTCTTGGATTCGCTGTTTAGTTTGTAGTTAATTCTTAGAGAAAGATTCTTCTCATTGCTGATAAGGCTAATACTGCTGTCTGTGTTGTCTCATTAACTCAACAAGTCTTTGTGCACTTACTATATGCCAATTACTGTTCTCCTAGGATTTTCACTTTTCTTTCACAACTTTCATCTTCCATTCCTTTTCAGTGCATGTTAAGGGAATCTCTCAATCACATCTTCCATTTCACAAAATTAAGCTTCAACTGAATCCGTTCTATCTAGTCCACCTTCTGAGTGTTCTATTTTCAAAATGATTATTTTTAATTTCCAGAAACTAAATATTTCTCTTTCCTAGCATCCTACTCTTTATGCATGCAATAGCCTTATGAATCTCTGTATTAGTTTTTAAATTTCTTCTGTTTCTTCTAGTAACTACTTTCTTGAACAGGTTAATTTGGTGTCTCCTTTTATGTTACTAGTTTTTTTTAAATTTGAAGATTCCATGCATATTTACAGATGAGGGCCTAAGACTAAAGTTTGAAGTGCTTTTCCTCAGCCAACTGAGAATTCTGGTTCACTTTCAGTAAACGTAAATTCTGATTATAGGCACTTCTGGTGATTATAAAGGGAGTGGAAGGTCACCACAGCCAGAGGGTGGGCAGCTTACTTCAGTTCCTCCTTGTAGTCATTTTAGATAATGCTCTTCTCTGCCAATCCCTGTTTCTTGTGTCACAACTCCCACTTCAGAGAGCTGCTTTCTTAGCCTTACTTAGCCTGGCGGCATACTCCAGAATTAGGTGCTTCAAAGATGAGTGGAATTGCTTAGCTGTTCCACTCTTTAATTAACTGATCCTTCAATAATCTGCTTTTTATCTTCTAAAAATTTCACAATGTTCATTTTCTGGTTTTCCAACTCTGTCATTAATTTATTTTTGTTTTAATTTTTCTCCAGTGATTTCAATGGGATTCTGGAAGAGTAAAAGAATGTGTTCAGTCATCCATGTTAAATCATAAGTTCTAGCAGGTAGTTTATAATCAGAAGCTTTTAAAAAATTAATCATCATCTCCTATCTTGCTGATTCTCTGAAAATCAAGTGTTACTAACTAGGGATTATTCTGTAAATATCCATTTGAAATTAGATGGATTCCTGGATATAGTAATGGATTGGCATACGACAGTAATTCTTGACCACTAGGAACTATGGGTGGATTTAGGGCAGGATGACAAGCTCTTTGCTACAGTATCACATATGACACTGTTAAAAAAAAGAAGAAAGAAAAACTCTTGTTTGCACAAGCTCTGGTGAACGCTCAGCAAACGCGCAGTAATCTCTCAGTAAAAGTACATGCTCGGAACCTCCTGTAACCCAAATGGAAATACTGCGTTTCAATAAGTGACACTGCTTCACATTTAGTACTGAAAGTTTAACAATCACTCAAAAGACTAAAATTGTATATATTAAACAGCAAAATATCCATATTTATAACTCTTAATGGAATCATTTCAAATGACTGATAAAATATACGTAAAATGTAAAAGAATTTTGGGGCCGGCCCAGTGGTGCAGCAGTTAAGTGCGCACGTTCCAATTCGGCAGCCGAGGCTTCACCAGTTCGGATCCCAGGTGTGGACATGGCACTGCTTGGCAAGCCATGCTGTGGCAGGCATCCCACATATAAAGTGGAGGAAGATGGGCATGGATGTTAGCTCAGGGCCAGTCTTCCTCAGCAAAAAGAGGAGGACTGGCAGCAGAGCTTAGCTCAGGGCTAATCTTTCTCAAAAAAAAAAGGTACATATATACATAAGAGAATTTTAAAACTATAATTACATGTATGCAAGTATGTCTTTTAAGACTCTTGGTCAAAGAAAACTGAGGCTATCAGTATAAACTCACTTTTTTCCCCCCAAACATTTAGTTTATTTTTTTGAGGGACGTGGGACACCACCTCAGCATGTCTTGATGATCGGTGCTAGGTCCTCGCCCAGGATCCAAACCAGTGAAACCTTGGGCCGCCAAAGTGGCGCACACGAAATTAACCACTCGGCCATGGGGCTGGCCACAAGTATAAACTCATTTAACTTCTATATTTCCTTCCAAACTTACCAGTATCCATCCAACTCCAAGAGTACACAGTCATTTTTATAAATTTTGCAATGTGAATCCTATCGTTTTTTCTTATCCATATTTCCATGTTTCCTGGATTCTCTAAATTACTTGTCTAATGATTTTGCACTGCACGTATGTAGGTGAGCCACCTCAAAATTCACTGAGGAGTCAAACAATCTGCATCCCCATCTGCTCAGATCTTTCTTCCGATCTTAAGAGCATTAATGAGTCTCATGCCCCCACCTCCAGAGATCCTGCAGCACAAATGAGCCTCACTCTTTAGCATCTTCAGTTATCTCCTTTAATTGCTTCCTTCCTTTCAACCTAAAAAATTTAAGTCCCTCTCATTCTAAAAAATTCTTTTTTAGCTGTTTCCTCTTCTCATCCAAACTCCTTCAAAGAGTAGCCTAGAGCCACAGTCTTCCCTGTTCCCTGTGGTCAGCCCTGTCCCCTCACCTTACTGCAATCTGGCTTCACTCTACTTCACTGAATTGCTCCCACTAAGGCCACTAGGGACCTAACTGCCAAACTCCAATGGACACTTAACATTTTCTGCAGCAGGACACTGTTATGTACTTGCTCCTTCTTGCAACTATCACCTCTCCTCCTCAAAGTCCTTTTTCTGCTTATCACTTAAGTGTTGCCAGTCCCCACAGTTCTCTGTACTCTCACCCACTCTCATGATTTTAACTACTGCTTGTATGTGCTGACAACATTCAAATTTTCTCTCTTCGTGTCTTCACATGCATGTCCAGTTGTCTACCAGTCATCTCCTGAATTCTACAGGTGCCATGAACTTCAACACGGGCCAAGACTAAGTTCTTCTCCCCAGTGCAGTTCTTTATCCCCTATTTCCAACCTCAGTGATACCTCCACCCAACCTTAGTCACACAGATGGGAGTCCACCTCTGCCTCCTACTTCTTCCTTACTTTCCATAACCAAGTCTTGCTTATTTTATTTGCTAAATAAAACTTGAACTTATTTCCTTCCTTCACCTATACCTTATTTCAGACCCCTTTTTCCTCTCGCTATGTCCTAATTCAGAAGTTATCAAATTGGTGTTCGGTGGAAGCAGTTGTTGGACTCTCCTATTAAAGAAGGATTCTATCATCAAATATATTTGAGAAGGGCTGCATACCATATGCCTGTCTTGGAGATTCAGAATGAACACCAGTCTACAGCAGCCCTGAGAAGTTGTAAAGAAACCTGCTTAACTCTATACGAGTCAGGGTCCCTTATGTTTGTCCAAGGACCCTTTCAGTAGGGACAGGAGAGGAAGTGGGAGCAATTAAGTCCACTTAAAAAACAACACTCCTCAGAAGCGTGTGACATAATTGATCTCCACGCTTCTTCAAACTGATCTTGCATACCGAAACTAACCATCTAGAGTGCAAACCCCAGCACGTCATTTCCATTCTTCAATCCCTTACTAGCTCACTGTCTCCTGAGGAAAAAGAACCAGCTCCACGCAACGTGGATTGTAAGGCCTGCTCTCTCATCTGCTGCCTACTTTAGCATCACCTGCGACCGCCTGATGACATGCCACTAATTCTAAACTACTTGTCTCTGCGCTCCCCCAGACACACCCCTCTCACCCCCTCGGCTCTGTACTTCTGCTGATGCTGCTCCCTCTACCTGGAGTATCCTTTCCCTCATCCCCTTAATCACCAGTTTCCAACTAGTTCTTCAAGACTTAGCTGAGAGGGGCCGGCTCCATGGCCGAGTGGTTAAGTTCGCGCGCTCTGCTGCAGCGGCCCAGGGTTCGGATCCTGGGCGCGGACGTGGCAGCGCTCATCAGGCCACATTGAGGCGGCGTCCCATATGCCACGACTAGAATGACGTGCAACTAAGATATACAACTATGTACTGGGGGGGATTTGGGGAGATAAAGCAGAGGGGGGGAAAAAAGAAAAAGACTGGCCACAGTTGTTAGCTCAGGTGACAATCTTTAAAAAAAAAAAAAGACTTAGCTCAGGTATTACCTCTTCAGATGATCTTTCCTGGCCCCACAGCTTCCCCTCTTCTTCCCCAAACACTGGCTAAACTTAAATATTTTTATCATAGAACCTAACACCTGTATTAAGACACCTGCCTCTGTGCTTCCTCTCGGGCTCTACTGTCACTTAAAGGGCCAAGAGAACATCTTGTTCCTTGTTTCATTCCCATAACACTCAATCCATGATTAATGCACTAAACAGTATTGTAGTCGCCCTTTTGGTAACAATCAGGCAGGACCTTCTAGAAGAAATCTGACACTCCACCTTTCCTCTGATCTTACCTCTCAAGTCACAGTCTGGTTGAACTAAAAACTTATCTATGCATGTTTTACCAGGGAGGCAAAATTTAGTCCGGAGACATGTGTTCATATATTCTTACATATTCTGCCTTTAAAAAATTCTACTGAGATGTAGGACGGGGAGGGGGACACGTGTGCTTTCTGACAGCCTCACTCCTTTGCACTTCTGGTGTTCACTGGCTTTCCTCTTGGTCCCTTCCTTGAGCCCTTCCTTTCTTGACAAGGAAAAAGGGTAACAAAGGGATCAAGAACATGGGTTCTTGTTCAAATCCCACTTCTACCACTTATTATAGTGGTGTAATTTTAAGCAACTCACATACTCTGTCTCCTCAGACTCTTCATCTATAAAATGGGCATGATGATAGTTCGCTGCCTTGCAGGGTTGCTGTAATCCATGCACATGGTGAAGCATCTTGGTAAACATCTGCTGCTCTGGTTGTTAGGAAGTAGGATGAGGCAATGGTTTCTGGCCATATGATTTATAGTATTTCCACATTTAACCAAATGATAAAACTATTCCATTTATTCACTCCCATCCCTTTCTAGTCCCTCTACCCTGCTTTGTTGTTTACTTTTTTCTCCTTTCACAGAGTATTAGTTCCCTAAGGGTAAAGGCTTTGTTTTGTTCATTGCTGAAAGCAACAGCACGCAGAAAAGTACTGTGCATATTATTTGGCCCTTAGTAGATACTCACTGAATGAACGGTACAGAGTGTCAAAAGGAAAAATACACCAAAAGTTTCATTATAATAAAAAGTACAGATAAATCTTTCTCTAATGGCTTTCAGTCCTATATTTTAAAGCACCATATGTCATAATGAAAACATGAGCAATTTATTAAAATTTGAAGGCAAAAACATAATTTCAAAAGATTTAGACCTATGTCAGGCGTGATAGAGTATGGATGCTTTCTTGAAATTCAAAATCAGATCCAAGAGTATCACTTTCAGAATGTTCTAGTACATTGAGTTTACTTTTAGTTGTCTTGGATGAAACAGTCACTATTCTACTTTCTTTCTTGACAGAAATGTGTTTTTTCAAAGACTCACTTTTAATTGGTTCATTAACCAAAGAACTGTTTTGCCCATTTCCTTTGCTTTTCCGGTTTACAGATGAGTCAGAGCAGGAATGCAGGTCCTTTCCAGGCTGTTTCTTAACAGACTGTTTTTTAGTATATTCACCTGTTTTCGTCATTTTCTCTGAAGAAGATCTGCTATTTCTAGACAATTCCTCTTCTTTTCTTCGACTTTCAGCTCCAGAGATTACATCTGCTAAAGGAGAACACGTTCTAGCAATGAATTCTTCCAAAGACTCCCGCCGCTGCTCCGTGTCTGGGACTCCCTTGTCTTTGGAAGTCCCTAAGGCCTCCTCAGCGGGAACTGGGATCTGGAAGGACTCAAGAGGCAAAGGAATTCTTGCATCCCCTGTAATTTTCTGAAACTGGAGGGAGAAACAAGAGAGAAGACAAAAGTTCAGTGATGAACAAAGCCAACCACTAAAAAGTAGAGCCTAAACCTTCAATGCCACTCCGGGATCTTATTATTAAGACGGTCTACTGATTATTCTGAAGATTTCAGAGCCAGTTTTTTCCTAATTATATCTTGCCAAGTGACTCCCAACTCAACTTAGCTATATTCCAGGCTAGGTCCACTACATTTTCAGATTTTTTCGTTTGAGGTAATTATTACCTGTTTCCCTTTCCCTCACTAAAAATGATAAAACTCGGGGCCGGCCCAGTGGCGCAGCAGTTAAGTGCACACGTTCTGCTTCGGCGGCCCGGGGTTCGCCGGTTTGGACCCTGGGTGCGGACATAGGACCGCTTGGCAAGCCATGCTGTGGCAGGCCTCCCACATATAAAGTAGAGGAAGATGGGCACAGATGTTAGCTCAGGGCCAGTCTTCGTCAGAGGATTGGCAGCAGATGTTAGCTCAGGGCTAATCTTCCTCAAAAAATAAATAAATAAATAAATAAATAAATCTCTGTTCCCTAAGAAAATTAATTTCTTTTCTATCCTCCAGGCACATATAAGCAGTATCCAATTTGTGACTAGACTGTGTTCTCAAGTTGTCCGTGCCTGAGACTGGTCTGAGATTGGCTGAGTTGGGAGACGGGGGCTAGGGGAAAAGCAGACAGGTTTCCCTTGCATTCCTGTAACCAGGTGACTCGCTATGATATACTGTCTGTTAGTTATGTCTGGATTACTTATTTTAAAAAATTATCTGTTATCAGTACTTGTACCTTCATTAGTGTTCCTTCATTGTAAGCTGACTGCATACAAATAGAAACCTAGATGAGATATGAATAGAATAGACATTTACACAATTTAAAATTTGGAATATTTTCTCTAATGTTTTATTTTTTTCTTCACTGAGGATAGTTTGCTTTAAATAATTAATTTTCAAAAGAACTTCCAGTTTTCTTATTTACAACAATACAGTATCATGAAATGGGCACAAAGTTACTAATCTCAGGTTTGGAAAGGACCCCGAGGAGGCTTCCAGCTCCCAAGCTTGTGAGCTGTCAGAGAGACTGACCATTATTCCTTTCTCTCTGACTTGGTAATTCTCCTTTTGCTAATCACTCAGAAGCATTCAGTTCTGTTCACTTACTTGGATATTTGGCATTTGTCCTAGGGCGTTCTGCTTTGATTCTGGTTTTTCTTCTTCAAGTGCCTTCTCTTCTTTAGGTGGACTACTAACAGTAGAACTCATCTGGGGACGACCCAGCAAATGAAAATCTGACTGATCTATACCAGCCATTGTGGCAAGCTGCCCAAGCCTGGACAAGAGGAGGAAAGCAGGAAAAGGGAGGGGTTATTACAGTCACATAAGAGCACCTTAGATTCCCCCATACCTGCAATCATGAAATTCTTCTAGAATCCTGCTCCAGACTACAAGCCTGTCTCTCTCCCAAATTCTCAGTCCTTTCCAGATTCATGCTCTGGGACCACATCGGATCACCCAAGTCCTTTGAGCGCTCCCTCTTCCCCTCAACAACGTGTTAAATACCACTTGATTTTATCTCCTTACCTATTAACACTCCATCCCTAACTGTCTCACTAGCAGCTTCAGCACCTACGCACCTAGTCCAGTGTCTCTCACCTCATTCCCACGCTTCTTTACCACCTTTCAACACGTTTCCAAGAACGCATTGGTTCCTTCCCAACACCAACCTATTCACCTATAAAACACCATTCCATCAATTATCAATCTCCAGTTCTCTTTCAGCGAAACCGCTCCCAGCTGAGAACCACTGATCTATATATCTGCTCTGAAAATTAAGAACAATTTTTACGTCTAGGACAAAAATAACTTTATTTCAAACTTAACAAGCAAAACGAATAAAAGGTAGGAAAATTCCTATGCATTTCGGAATATTTTCACTTAAAATCATCTTCAATTTAGTCTTTACTGAAAACCATACCCACTAATTACTATCTCCACATTACTCTTTTATAATGGGACCTCTAGCAAAGCAGGTTTGCCATTCTGCATTTCTTTTAAAATTTAACTCATTAAAAAAAAAATCAACCATATTACCTATATGGCTAAATATGGCTATGGAAGCAATGAAAACTGCTCAAGTTCCTCAGCAAACTACCCTTATAGCTGCGAAGAGAAGAATGCCATGCAAAGAAATTAACTAACCCAGCATCTTTAAGGAGATCCAAGAAAGCATGGAACTTCTGAAAAGAATTCTCAATGCTGCCCAAAACACCTTCATCATCCAGGATCATGCTTGTCAATGACTGTGCATGTAGGGCTTCAGACAAAGAGAAATTTATATTTCTTAACTGGGCATTTTCACGTTCCAGCTATAAAAGAAGATTGAAAATGTAGGGCATGATTTTCTCTCATTGTCATCAAAAGAAAACAGTTTTTAAGTAACAGAATCAAAATAAAACACTTAAAAATGTAATAAATTTGTAATTAATCTAACTCTCCACCAGTAAAGACAGAGACCATATCAGATAATAACCAAAACCCAGAGACACCCAATAAAGTTTCCTATATAACACTTAGGTGGTATATAAATAAACCAAAGTTACTGTTTTATTAATGATCTTTTAGAAGATCACATTTCTGACAAGTTAAATTCATAACAGATCCTCATTCTACATTAGAAAATCAGTTGCTTAAGATTTCCATTAGGGGCTGGCCTGGTGGCGCAGTGGTTAAGTGCGCATGTTCCACTTTGGCAGCCCAGGGTTTGCCAGTTTGGATCCCGGGTGCGGACATGGCACCCCTTGGCTAAGCCATGCTGTAGCAGGCATCCCACATATAAAGTAGAGGAAGATGGGCATGGATGTTAGCTCAGGGCCAGTCTTCCTCAGCAAAAAGAAGAGGATTGGCAGCAGATGTTAGCTCAGGGCTAATCTTCCTCAGGAAAAAAAGGCCTAAATCATATCCAATTTATTAACTGCATGATTACCAATATTCTCCTTGGCTTCTTGAAAATATTTACTCCTTTGCACCCATTCCCACTTCATCATCTATTCACCTAAAACCACATATAAGTCAACTCTGGTATTTCTCAGAAAGGCCATGTTGTTCATGATGTACATTTTGCCTTTTATAAGCAGTTGCTCAATATTTACTGAATAATCATCCTCCAATTGAATGTATGCAATTTCAAAAACTCCCCCCTAAACTCACCTTCTAATAATTATATTTACATACAGATCTTTTTAGCTTATGTCCTACTTTCATGAGCATTAGCCTAATGTAATTCTCATAGTACATATTTTTATCTTTCATTGCATTCTTAGCAGTTTTCCAATCTTACTTATTTAAATGACTTTCTTAATTCACTGTCAGTAGCCAGTCTCATCATGTCTTTTATGTTACCGTATATACAGGATAAGCATAATAAGCGCTTTCCTGAATCAAAGCATCATGAACAGAAAATAAGCTAACGTCATATAAAAGCACACACACAAAAGAACCCCAAGATTTTTACATTTTTAAAAGCATGCTTTCTGAGATACAGATCATATGACCACTAAAGATAAGTAAGTACAATGGTTCATATGGAACAACCAATTTGCAATATATTACAGTTTTAAAGTTTACAAGCTGTGTGTTTATATGGCTTCAAATCAAATCAAATAAAACCAAAAACTCAGAAGTGTAAAAAAAACTTGTTTACCTCACTGACTCGTCTGTCAGCCTTAAGCCTTATGACTCTTTCCTCCTTTAACTGCTTTAGGCACTCCTCCAGTTTTCCCTAGTGTGAAGACAGAGTAAATATCATAAAGAATTCATAGTACAGTATCCAAAAGCCTTTCCAGCCATAAAGCTCACCGAGGATTTCAGGGCAGAGTCAGAAGTGAACTCAGATTTCAGGATTACAGGCCACTACTTGTAATATCATACCAAGCTAGTGAAATTAATTACCAAAATATATCAAATTAGCATATTAAAGATTTATTTAAAGCCTACTCTTTCCAAGATAAGATTTGTGGCAGCTCACCACAAAAGGCATATGTGTACAATATAGTAATAAGTCAGAAATAAAAAATTAAGGCCAGGAGAGGAAAATTCTATTTTTATTTGTAGGTCCCTTTATAATAGGAAGCCCTATTAACATGCTTAACACACCTGAATTATGTAAGTGCAGGTTCAAATGCATTTTTAAAAAGTTAAATAATTTAAAGCACTTTACTATATGCCAAGCACTGTTCTAGGAGTTTCCTAGGCATTAAATAATTTAATTATCAAAACCTTACAAGGAAAGAATGGACTATTAACCCCATGTTATTTCACCGGTGAGAAAACTGAAAGAGAGAGGGGAGTGGCACACCCAAGGTCACAGCCTTAATTAAGCACAGTCATGCCTTGCTTATCGATGGGGATGTGTTCTGAGAGATGCATCGTTAGGCGATTTTGTGGTCGTGCAACATCACAGAGGACTTACACAAACCTAGATGGTATAGTCTACCACACCTCTAGGCTATACGGCACTAATCTTATGGGACCACCATCATCTATGTGGTCCATCGCTGACCAAAATGTCATTATGTGGCACAAGACCAAGGCAGAGCCACATTGTGAACTCAGCAGTTGAGTGCCACTGCTGTTCACAGTGGTAATCTTCCTATGTACCAAGGTCAATGAAAGAGAATGGACATCAGTGAACTCCCTTGTGATTTTCAAGAACTAAGACACTCGGGTCCCTGAAGTGGGACACACGACTTGTGGTAGGCAGAATTTTAAAAGAGCCCCCAAGATTCCTACCTGCTGTAACCTCTCGGTTACTCAAACACTAATCTAGGTGCTGCACTGAAGGGATTTTGCAGATGTAATTAGGTTCCCCAAATCAACTGATTGTAAGATAGGGAGGTGATTCTGGGTGGATGTGACCTAATCAGGCAGCCCATTAAAAGGACCCAGGCTCTTCCAAAGTGCAAGAGAGACCAGAAGGAGATTCTCCCTCGCTGGCCTTGAAGAAGTCAAGCATGATGCTGTGGCAAGGCATGCGGGAGGGAGGCCTCCAGGAGCTGAGATTGTCCCCGAGCTGACAGCCAGTAAGGAATGGGGATTCCTGTCCTACGACTGCAGGAGCTGAACTCCACCAATGAGCCAAGTAAGATTGGAAGCAGACGCTTTCCCAGAGCCTCCAGATGATAACTCACATCCTGATGTCAGCTTTACGAGATTCAGAGTGGAGAACCCTGTCATGTCGTGCCCAGCCTGCTGACCTACAGAACCGTGCACTAATAACTAGGTGGTGTTTTTAGCCGCCAAGTTTGTAGTAACAGAAAATTAATATACCACTCAACCCCCAAGTTCATGAATAAAATAAATTACTGTTATTGTTTTTAAGTCACTGTTCTGGTGTGGTTTCTTATGCAGCAATAAATAAACAGAATACTTCTATTTATTAAAACAGCAAGATACATTTATATATTTTAAAGGCTTTTGAAGAGTCACTTAAAGAATTGCAACGTAAAGTATAGTTTACTCCTGGCCTGTGTGTGCTGAGGGGAGGGACTCTATTATATGCCACAGTTGGGAGAGGAAATTGGTACCACTTTCTGGCAAGTAATTTTTAGCACATACCCATAATCCTATGACCAGGAATTCACCCTAAGGAAGTCATCAAAAATGTGGGCAAAGATGTGTCTACCAACATGATGTCATAGGACTGTTTACAACTAAACCCTAGAAGTAAGCTGCAAGCCTCCAAATTGGGATTGGTTTAAATAAAAATAGCAACCCATATGAAGTCACCAAAAAAAAATGCTAACAGGAGGTCTTAACCAGAGTTAATGAATGCGCTTAAGGAGTTCTACATGCAAAATACATCTGCGTGTACTTTTTGGGAGATGGTCCATAAGCTTAATCAGACTCTCTGATGTATAAGAGTACTTATTAGTGACATGACAAAATATATATACTTTTTATTTTACTGAAGTCATATTGGTTTATAACAGTGTGTAACTTCAGGTGTACATTATTATATATCACTTTCTGTATGGACCACATCATGCTCACCACCAATAGTCTAGTTTTTATCTATTATCACATATATGTGCCCCTTTACCCCTTCACCCTGTCCCCCGGTGCCCACTAATCTGTTCTCCTTATCTATGTTTGTGCATCTTCCACGTGAATGAAATCATACGGTGTTTACGGCAAAATATTTCTGATACCTTTTCAAGACAAAAGAGTAGATTAGGTGTGTGTACATGCAGAGGTGGCTTTTATTTACTTCAATAAGTATTTCATTGATTTAAAAAATTTGCTCAATGTACATATATTTTCATACTCAAAACATATGTTTAGAAAACTAAAAAGTCTAATAACTTCAATTTCATACTCAGAACATATGTTTAAAAAATTAAAAAACAGTCTAATAACTTCAACTTCTTTAATGTTTTATCACCAGTGAAAGCCAGCCAAGTTTTTAATGGGGAAAAAGGAAAAAAAATTGCACAATTCCTCTACTTATTCCTTATATAATGTTTTTAATACTTAAAACTGATTTCATAGAAATTCTAAACAAATAAGCACACCAACCACAAAACCCCCTCACCACAATCAGACAAAACAGAATACTCTCTTCTTGGCTGGTTCAGAATAGCACATCAAAGTGCAATTACATGAAACAGTGTCTCCCTCTAGTGGAGGGAATTAAAACATTATGTTAGTTTTTTTACGAAAAAGTAACCTCCTCCTACAAAGTAATTCATGTTCCTTAAAACGAAATATGGAACCAAAACTTAGAAGGTAAACTCGCTTGATATCCTATTACTTAAATAAGACTAATGATAAGGTTTTAGAGTAATTTTCCCTCCTGTCACCTGCTCTCCCTCCTCCCTTCTACACATTGGCTAGTTGATTTTTTTCGCTGGAACAAAGCTCCCATCATACTGTATATCAAATTTTATGTCCAATTTTTTCCCATCTAACATTGAATTAATAATTTCTCATATAATCAGGGGATTCATAACCTTAATTTTTTTAGTGGGGTACAAAATATTCCATTGAGCAGGTTTATTGGTTCATGTAATCGTGCCTTTTTGGTTGAACACTTAAATTCTTTCCAACTTTTTAGTATTATAAGACAAAATATTTTTATGCACTAAGGCTTTTTTCCCATATTTAAAATAATTTTCTTGCAGTAATTCAATAAAAATAAGATTGAGATCAAAGCAAATGAACATTTTTAAGGCTCTGAGGGACTTATCTCCAAGATGCTTTCCAAAAGATTTTTAAGATTTTATGCTGCTATTGGCAATGTATCATGTGGCATATAACCTCTGCTGTGACCACAGGCTTACTTCCTCACTTAAAGTGCAAGATATTTGAGGCAAGGGAGTGGATTTTATTAAACGTTTATCCCCAGCACCTGTGCCCAGCACAAAGCAGACAATCGATAAATAATTGCCAAATAAGGAAAACCTCCACCAAGTGAAGATTTATGTGTGTTAAAGATAAAATGTGAGTTTTTCTCTAATCAGATAGGTGAAAACTTGCTATCTTTCTTAAATGTGCATTTCTTTGCTTATAATTAGTAGTTAAATTTCTCTTTTAGATTATATTTTTAAAAATTCAGGTTCTCTGAGGCAAAATCCTGGCCCTACCTCTTAGCTATATAACCTTGGACAAGTTCAATAACTAGCCCTCAATTTCCTCATCTATAAAATGGAGATAAGTTCCCATCATCATAGAAATTTTGTGAGGATAACATGAGTTAACACACATAAAACCTAGAAGAGTGCTTGACACATAGAATATGTTCAATTAATGCTAAATGAATGAACATGGAATGCAAAAAGTAGCAAAGGGCTTAACATGACACAGTCTCGTCCCACTCATACTCGCAGTTCCCCAGGGCCAACCATTTCTTTCAGCAGGTTTTTGATTGTAAAATATGACATGCATACTGAAAAGTGCACAGAACAAAACTGTCAGTGTGACAAACAGAAAGACAAAACTTATATAACCACCACTCAAGTCTGCAAGTACAACTTGTCAGCAACTTAAAAATCCCGTCTCCTTTCCCCATCACAAGCCCTTCCCCTCCTCCCAGAGTTGAACACCATCCTCATTTTCCGACGATCATTTCCTTTACATGCATGCACCGCTAACAATATAGTTTAGTTCTACCAACTTCATGTAAAGAGAATCACAGCATATGCCGCCTTTGATCTTATTTCTTTCACTTGATATTGTTTTTAAAAATTCATCCATATTGTTGCTGGTAGCTCCAGTTCATTCAATTTTATTGCTTTACAGTTTTCCCACTGTATGAATACACATAATTCATTTAATTTTTAACTCAGTGGACACTTGGGCTGTTTTCAGTTGGTGCTAATGCAAGTAAAGCACAAGCAGTCTGCAGCAGCAGTTATTCTAGTGCACAAACTGGGGCGGGGACGGGGGTTGCTGGGTGACAGGGCGTTTACACACCTTCAGCTGACGGCCAATGCTAAATGCTTTCCAAAGGAGTTGTGTTGATTTCAATTCCTATTGTACTCCAGGTCTACGATACCGGGGAAGATCAGACTTTATTTTTTGTTAATCTGATTGGAGTGTAGTGGCATTTCATACTGGCTTTAATTCATTTTTCTCTGATTTCTAAGGAGATGAGATACTTTTCCATGTTTACTGGCTGTTCGGATTTCGTTTTTTATGAGTTTTAAGTCAACTGTTCTTACTTTGAATTCTTCTCTATTTTCAAATAACGTACTTATGTGACTTCATGACTAAATTTTAGACATTATCTGTTAACTTCCTACTTTAAATATGAGTTTAGTTCATTTACACTCTTTCCTATGTCCACTCCTCTCAGTAAAGTTGTATCACCATTAGTTTCTCCACTGGTCATGACCTCTTCAACTTGTAGTGATATACTTAAAAATCCATATTGTTTATCAACTATAAATACTCTCAACACCCAGCTCTGTAAAATGAGGACATTCATGCCTTTTTCCTTCCTTTCCACCTCCTGCCTACCTTCCAAACTTAGCTTTTACATTGTCAAAGTCGATATTTATATTCTGTTTTACGTGCAGTTAAGTTTTCTGTTATTTGAGAGACGGTACAGAGCAGTGCTTAAGAGGACAGGGAGAAAGCCTGAGCTCAGTCTGATCCAGCCCTACGTTAGGTACAGCTGGGCAAGTTCCCTGTCTGAGCTCCCTTTTCTGAAAGGTGGGAACGGTATTAGCACTTGCCTCATAAGGCTACTTGGAGGATTAAATGAGTTAATATATGCAAAACATTTAGACCATTATACATAGTAAGTACATACTATGACTAATATATACTAGTACATACTAAGTATAGTGTAGGTTAGTTGTTATTATATGAGAGGTGACAATAAAAGCTGTCAACCAAGACAGTAGTTCCACTATTATGACTGAATTAAAATTGCCCATCACAGACTTACACTGCACCTCTGTGCACACAGAAATTATCCCTCCTCCTGTACTGTTTCAGTGCCTGCCACAGACTTTGTGTAGGGTGACCACACATCCCAAGTTGCCATGGACTGTTCCAGTTTATACCTGTTGTCCTGACGCCACAGCATTATAGTGCCTCCTTACACTATTAAGGAGTGTTCCGGTTTGGAAAATAAATTAGAAAGGTAGTCAGTCACCCACCCCTATGCCACTGAAAAGGGTGACTTCCACAGCGTCAAGTTTAAGTGGATTCTTCTCTTTTGCACACCAACACTAGTTAAAAAATCTGCCATAGTTCAGTTAGCTCCATTTTAATGGCAGTATAGCTTTTCCTCCTCTGGAGTGTGACTTCCTGCCCCCCCCCCTTCCTCTCCCTCCTCTCTTCTGACTAAGACACAGAAAGTGCCTAATATATAGAAAGGACATGTGCTCAGGGTGTTTCTAAGCTCTCATCACACAATCAATGGAAGCCTCTCAAATCGAGACTAGTTGCGCTCTGCACTGAATTGAATCCAGTTGCCTGAATCGCCGATTGTCTTCCCTCTCGGTTTACTCCCCCATTTTGCTGGACTGTCTTCAAATAACTTCAAGAAAAGGTATAGTATAGTAAGTAAACTTTTCAAACTTCCTTATGTACAAAACATCTTATTCAGTCTCCAATTATGATTGACAGATTGGCTGGATATGAAAGCTTAGGTTGAAAATTATTTCCCTGCAAAACTTCGGAGGTATCTTTCCAACGGTATCCCATGGTAGCTGATGACGAATATGACAAAGTCGAATTTTTTTCTTTTTTGGGTGACCAATATTTTTCTGTCTGGAATTTATGCACCTTCTCAGTATTTTCAAATTTCACAGTGAGGGGTGTCTAGGTATATGAGTCTATTTTCATTCACCTTGCTCAAAACTTGGGTAGCTCTTTTCAATTTGAAGCCTGATGTTTATTTTCAGCCAGAGGGAATTTTCTAGCCTTCTCACAGTTCCCTTCCCTGCATTTTTTTGTGTCCTTTCTGGAATTTCTAACAGTAACATGTTGGATCTCCTAGATGCAGCCTATCATATCATTTCTGTCATATTTTCCATTCTATCTTCTTTATATACTGAGAAATTTACTTAATTCTCATTGAATTTATTTCAGCAATCATAATCTCCAAGAGATCTCTCTTGCCTTCTGACCATTCCCTTTTTTTTTTAAAGATTGGTACCTGAGCTAACATCGGTTGCCAATCTTTTTTTTCCCCCTTCTTTTTCTCCCCAAAGCCGCCCAGTACATAGCTGTGTCTTCTAGTTGTAGGCCCTTCTGGCTCTGCTATGTGGGATGCTGCCTCAGCATTGCCTGATGAGCCACTAGTTTTACGCCCAGGGTTCAAACTGGCGAAATCCTGAGCTGCCAAAGTGGAGCATGCAAACTTAACCAATCGGCCACAGGGCCGGTCCCTGATTATTCCTTTTTCAATTAACATACTATTCTTATTTCACAGATGCTCTTTTTAAACCTCTCTAACGATACTAATTAGGGTTTTTTCCTAAATAATTTTTGTTTCCTAAGTTGTCCCTGGTCCTATGAGGATATGTTTTTACTCTTCTTTTTTTTCCTGTCATTCTGTAAGCTTTACTCAACTATCAGATGAATAATGGTTATTGTCTATTTAAGAACAAGAGTAGAAAGTTCCCTGGAAGTCAATGGTTGATGGCTTCCTTTATGCATGAAGAAGTGGGTAGTCAGTTATTATAATAGGATACTCCAAAATACTCTTCTCTAGGGTGCAGAAGTTCACACTAGCTGCCCTCTTCTCTCTAGTTTTTTTTTTTTTTTAAATGAAATTACCTCATTTCAGGAGAGTAAGAGTGGGGCTGGGAGTCAACTCTTCTAAACACGAACCTTCACTGTGCTCTCCCTATTTCAGTCACATTTTTAACTAACTCCACCCTCTTTCCTCCAAGCACATCTGAGTGTGCAGCTATTTCTGGAGGGGGAGTAGACTCCACTCAGCTGCAGGCAGTCCCCGTGTGGAGTCGAGGTCACGGTTTTCCTCTGTTCTACTGTTTCAGTTTCACACTCTTCCGTTTGTTTTTTGTCTTTCAAAATTATGTTGAGGGGTTCGCCCCATGGCTGAGTGATTGGGTTCACACGCCCCACTTCAGCAGCCCAGGGGCTCGCCACTTCGAATCCTGGGCGCGCACATGGCACCGCTCATCAGGCATCCCACATGCCACAACTAGAAGGACCCACAACTAAAAATACACAACTATGTACCGGGGGGCTGTGAGGAGAAAAAGGAAAACTAAAATCTTTAAAAAAAAAAATGAGGTCATATTTTCCTCTTATAAAAAGAGAGCTCAGCTAGAATTGTCAATTTTCGGACGTATAAAATAGGAGCACTGAATTAGCTAACTATCTTCACCCAGAACTCAATTTCTTTGAGTTTACCTTATGATCATTAAAATTCTCCCTACATCTAATATCCTATGGTTCTAAGGAAAGGAAAATGTATTACTGATGACGTACTTTGATTTTTCTTAGAGTTCAAACGTCCATCTCATGTTGGTCTAAGCTAAGGAACCATTCAAGGGTACATGATACGGTCGAGAGGGGAAAACAGCAAGCACCCTCATGCAAGCGGTCCAGTGTTGTAGGTAGGCTTCCACCAGATAACAACTACAGTTTGAAACACAATCTTCTCTATATCTCTAAAGTGATAACTTTGTACCTGTAATGCTTCTTGTTTTAAGCTAGTTTTCTCAGGCTCTTCTTGAACACTTTCTGAAGAATCATCGACCTCTTCGATTTCTGAGGAGGAAGGACTCTCTACTGTAACAGTCACAGGAAACTCTGATTGCTTAAAGAAAGAAGACATGCTTAAGAGATTCTATTAAGAGATAATATAAGCCAGACACCAAATATTAAAGGACATTTAACAAAAGTGATCTGAGGTGTCAACTCATTATAAATGTCTTTCACTGCTCCTTAGTCTAAAACAAGTAGTGACAAAGTAAAACGACAGTAACTTATTTTTTCTGTGTTACTATATAGAATTCTGTTGTACACGGTTAGGATTAATATTTGGAATTGCCAATATATTTTATTAAATTTCTCTCACACAAGCCAAGTGAGGAGCCAGAGTAAATACATTTTCTCAGATCGAGTTTACATTGTAGACAAGATATTTATTCTCTACCATCAGACACAAAGAGTCTGGAAGAAAATGTAGTTTTTAGGAGGAAAATCCATCAGTAGGGGACTCATAAAGAAGAATTAGAAAGTCAACAAATCTGAACTTCGAATAATTAACACTAGAATTTAAAAAAAATAAATCACGTACACATACACAACTAAAACTGACCCATTAAAAACCTCATCCTCTCATCATCCTTAAGCCAAAACTAGTGTAACAGTAACACACTTCTGCTGTCAAGTTTCACGGCCACTGGAATGTTGTTTAATATGATGTTGCCAAATATTTAAAAACCGACCTAGCCAGAACCCCATAAAAAGTCTACACATCAAAAAGAAGTGTGCTGGGATGACATAACTGCACAGACGACAAGCCACGAGACTATCATCTCGACCACAAGCAGCAAACCTCGCAGTAGAGGGAAGTCCCTATGATGGAATGAGGTGTGCACCCCTTCTCTGGGCTCGCAGGGGCAGTACTGACCCCCAGGGTGCTCTTCTCTCAATCTCAGTAGTGCTGCCTTTTACAGAGCAACTACACAGTCCCCCAGGACGGCCGACAGGGTTTGCTGGCTCCGAGACCCGGAGGCAGTACGATGGGAAATGTGTGTGGCCTTGGTGAGAGAGGGAGAAGAACTCCAAAAGAGCAAGGCTTTGGGATTTGTTGCTTCATTTTGGCTTTAGGATCTGGAACTTAGATATACAGCCAGCCCCTGAACAATATTTCTTGAAAACCTAAGGACATTCTTGAGTATGACAGCTCCGTGTGTTGGGTCAGAAATGGCAGACTGGAGAAACGGCTTTCTTGTTTATAGATGAAACCACAAGGCCCCCAGTATGTATCACACCCACGCAACTACACGGTGGCCCTGGGAGAGTGACCTGACAAGTTTATTTCAGGGAGGGAAATGTTTCTTGTAAGGCTCTGTTCAATTTAAAACCCAAAGAGAATGACCTTCCACCTTTCCCACTTCAACCCTCTATATATTATAAATATAACTACATACCTGCAAGTGATTATATACATCACGAGTTTTGATTAATGGAAAATCCCTAAAGAGATATCAACAAATTAAGTTATATTTTGATGTAAACAGATCACCAGTTAACCACACTTAATAAAACTCGTATTATGTACAATATCTATATAGAACTGTGTATAAAAATACGCAAGCTCAAAATAAGGACCCGGAAGGCTCTGTTATGGAGAAAATGGAAGAGAATCTGGCAGACTAGCTTTGTGTTAACTCTCTGAACTGCTGAGAGCACCTTCAGTTCCCGTGCTCAGGATGGCTGAAGTTTCTAGTCTAACTTCTTCAACTGGTGATATTAATTGTTCTCTAATTTACAACTCCTTGTGACCAGGATGGACTTGCGATTAATAAGTGTCTCAAGAAGAAGATATGAAACCACAAAGTTATAAAACTAATGTGCAAAAGTGGGGCCTCAGCACTATAGTTTATGCAATAAGAAGTCACATCACCATTCACAAAAAAGTACAGTAGTCAGCTGTCCAAAGGAGATTATACACATCAATTTAATGTGAGCAATTGAACAGATATTTTACATAGTATCTACTTCAAGTCCTATTTAAAATCAATTCTCTGTTTTCTTCAGCAATTGTTAATGTCCAATTTCTTGAATACTACCAAGTCAGTCATTTGAAAATAATCTATAGCAATCTAATTCACTTAGCAAGCCTAAAATTATAGTTCAACAATGTTAGAAGACTTTTAGACTTCTATGACAAAAATTACTATAAACAGCGATCCCCTGATAAGTAATCAGCTAAAACTAGTTCAATCTAGTTTGATTCACTACATCTGATTCACTAAAATGAGTTAAGCCAGTTGACAGATTAAATCTAATCCATACTTCTCATCCATTCTGCACTGAACCATTTCTCATGCCTAACATATCTTTTTCCCCATTTCTACATAACCAAATTCTTACTTCTGTGCTGCATGGCTTGGCTCCCACCTTTAATGAAACCTTTCTCACCTGCACAACTGGAAATAATTTTAGTCTACTCTTGACTGTTGTGACACCTAAGAAATAACTTGAAACTCCCAAATGACAATTTATTTTTTGTTTTTATTCCTTAAAGGATTCATTAGGCAGAAGCAATGTGTGAGTTACCTTTTTTCCTCTATAGAACCCACCAGAAATCTCCCACATAATAGAAGCTCCAAAACAAAGAATTCTGAATGACTAAAGATAAGGAATGAAAACACTCTACCTGTTCCTTCTCGCACGTTCTGCAGTACGCCATGGCAGGAAACCAGACACGCCAGGCGGGAGAGGCTCAGGAGCATATTCTTTACCAAGGGAGTGTTTTCTTCCATTACTTACAGGTTTCTTTGTAGCCAATCCTATGTTTGAGAAAGCATTAAAAGAAAAACTTAAGATGCACTAAAGGGCTACAGAGCAATTATCACAGGTGTACACTTTTTAAAGAATACAAATGGGCACTTGACAATGATGCCAAGTCCATTAAAAACAGGATGATTGGGGCTGGTCCCGTGGCCAAGTGCTTAAGTTCATGTGCTCTGCTTCAGCGGCCCAGGGTTTCGCTGGTTCAGATCCTGGGGACGGACACGGAACCACTCATCAAGCCACGGTGAGGCGGTATCCCACATGCCACAACTAGAAGGACCCACAACTAAAAATACCCAACTATGTACCGGGGGGCTTTGGGGAGAAAATGGAAAAATAAAATCTTAAAAAAAAAAACAGGACGATTTTGTAAAAATGTTTTTACATAGGCCAGCAAAGTTTAAAAACATAAGTTCTTTACAATAAGAAGTTATCATTTTAACTAAAATATAAGAGATGTGCAAAACATGCAAAAGTAAATAAAAAATATATCCCAAAGAAAGAAAAATTATATATGATACACTTCATGTATCATGCGGAAACATTCAGTTTATTACATCTCAGAATATCTTGGCATTTCTAAATCTCAAGGATAGAGAAACAGAGACACACCCAGGATGCCTGTCAAACAGAATCTTCTGAATTAGATCAAAATTTCAACTTAAGATTAATTTTTCTATGTAAAAAGGATCAAAGTTACAAGACTGAAAGTTGCTGGGTGGTAGATGAGTCAATGTTACCCTCTTATAAGTCTGTCAATCTTCACTGCTCATTTGACTTCATATAGAAAACACAAAAGAAACAAAATCCATTGGATAAAAGAGTAAAATGTGGAGACTTATCCTACATTTCAATACCAGAGAAGTAAGTATCTTTATATGAACTATTAGGGAGCAAAAGCTAGACCTACGTGTTAACACTTTATTTAGAACAAACCATATATTAAAATTCATATTTAAATACTTAATTTTCTCTATTACTGAAAACAATACAGGTTTGTTAAAATGGTTATATGTATCCTTCAAATCTATTTTCTATACAAGATCTGCTTTAGCAGCATTAGGATGGCATGTAAAATAATGTGTATGTGGTAATATAGAACAAGTATTTCATACAGTATAGCTTATTGTCACCACATGATCTTGTGTGATTTCTCTGCATAATTAACATGCCTCTTAAAATACGTAGGAGCTCGGTTCATCTTGTGCTATTTTGTTTTGTTTTTTAACTTAATTACCCTGAAACAAAGGATGTTCCTGTGTACATTGTTTGTATGTGTATACCTTCTCCTTTATTTTCAGAAACTAATACAAATATATTTGTAATTAAAACCAAAAGAATTTACACTTAAGAGATTAAAAAAATTCTATTGAAAGTTCCTATTGTCTTTTTACACATATAATTACAATATGAATGTGACACAATTCACATAGTTTTTAAACCTATACTCAGTTGGATCTGACTAGACAGCCAGACACTGATTTGGCTTACCTCTATGTCTCCAAACAACTGAGGCAAACACGAAAAAAGCCCAAAAATAAAATTACTCTCCAAACAGCTCAGTGAGCTCATAAACACAGTCACATTTCCACTTTGTTTAATCATGCTAAGAAAAAAACTTGTAATTGTTTTATTCTCATTCCATGATGCCATTAAATACCACCACCAGCTACCAAAACTACAGAATTCCTAATGTTATATATATATGTTTTATTTACATATATTTCTATTTCTAATATTACATCAAAATACCAACTTAGATACTTTTAAGAATGCTTTACACATGATATAGACTTTTAATAATAATATATAATTAGTGTGGTATCACAAATTTCAACTTCTTTGTATGTACTATTTGATTGACTACTAAAATATCACTGTTTTGAAATAAAAATTGGTAGACAAACTGCAGGCTTTCTTTTGATTTACTAAACACTCTTAACAACTACTATTTAATACATTATTGACCAAATAAACTGATTAATGGAGAATCAAAAATACACCTTTTAATAGTAAAAGAAGCTGCGTTTATGAAGACGTTTATAATAGCATTTTAAAAAGGTTACTTAGGGGCAGGCCCACGGCTGAGTGGTTAAGTCCACACACTCTGCTGTGGTGGCCCAGGGTTTCGCCGATTCAGATCCTGGGCACGGACATGGCACCGCTCAGCAGGCCATGCTGAGGCGGCATCCCACATGTCACGACTAGAAGGACCCCCAACTAAAAAAATACACAACCATGTACAGGAGGGCTTTGGGGAGAAAGAGGAAAAATAAGATCCTTAAAAAAAAAGATTACTTATTATTTAGGTTATTTCCAATTTTTCACCATTTAAAAAACTGACCAACTCAATAAAACCTTGTGAATGTATTAAAAAGTGTAAGTATGAATCATAAAATTTTAATTTAATATAAAGTGAAAAAAGAATAGCAAATTATATTTTAAAAATGTGGGATTATGTTTATAGACAATAGGAGGAGAAAATGAAAATGTAAACATTGCTTAATGGGATAATGGAATTAGAGGTGGTTTCTATTTTTATTTCCATTGTTATGCTAATATAACACCTTTATAAAACCTAAACAGAAATCTTTACACACCAATTGTGGTAAAATACACAAAACATAAAATTTACCATCTTAATCATTCTTAAGTGTGCAGTTCAGCGCTAGTAAGTCAAACAGAAATTTTCAAAAATTTCAGGTGGCATTTGAATAAAAGATTATTTGTTGTTAATTACTTGGTGATCTTAATGTATCTGGTATGTAACTAAAGTCACCACAAAACTTTTTCTGGGAAATTGGCAGATTACAAACATAAAAAATTTATTTTGTTTCCTTTATATTAGACCTTATGGTTTTACTATTTCAAAATTCAAATTTACTCACAAGAAAGGGTAAGTTTCATATTAGATTTGGTTGAATTAATTCCACTCTGCCATTCATTCTTATCACATACACAAAAAAGGCTATTTGTGACTAAAGATAATGCGCTCTAGAAAGTAAGATCTTGTTAGAAGTTAAGGTCTCATTAGAAACAATACAAAAATATCAGTAGAACTGGATTACACCAAATTTATATATTCAGGAGAATGTGAAACTTACGCTATTGGTAGTTTTATAAAGAAGATTTTTTAAAAATTACATTTGGTGACAAAATCATAGGCTTAATTTTTAAATTCTGGGCTAACTATTATGTGGAAAATTAAATACACATTATAGCAAACACTTCCATCTAGGGTCAATAGACTTGTTTGCCACAATCTTTTGTAAGATTACACATATTTATATATATTTAAGTTTTTTTAAATCATTGAAAGAAGCAAGCTGTTACGTGATTCAATAGCTTTAAGAATTTGCAAGAAAGAAGAGAACAAGGGGGAAAAACAGCACTGGAAAGAAACTTTCTTTAGCACAAAAAGATAATTCTTCATTTAAAAAAATCATCACTCCAAAGCACCACTGCTAAAACTATCAGCACAATGCACTCCCAATTTCAACTGGAAAGTATTAGAAGTAATCATCAACCAGAAAACATATTCAAAATAATGAGTTTCTAATGAAATACAAACAATAAATCCAGCTAATTAAAAAAATTGGAAATATTAGCATGTCCTTCTTCAAATTCATTATTTCTACTTTTTATAAATTCTCATAATCTGTATCAGAATAATTAGAGTCCTCCTAATATGCATGTAGTTAACGTTGGTTGTTACCATCAATTTCATACAATGAGAAGAGATTTTAATTTTAGCACACTGGAACACACAGGAGGTATAAATTCTAGTAGCATTACAAAGCCAAGATAGAAAGGGTTACCAATTCTAATAGTAGCTTTTCCTTTTCGACCACTGCCCAGAATTATAGTTCTCTTTTTCTGTCTAGCAGTTCTGAATGGTTCCTTCACTGACGGAGACGTTATCCACTGGTACTGGAAGAGGAATAATAAATACTCCATTTCAGTTACAAGTAACTTATGAGGGTCTGATCTTATTTGGAAATTAAGATATTTTAAGTTAATAAAGTGCTTGCAATCTGGATTTCTGGGACCTTATATTAAAGAATCACACAATATTTTCAAAAACAGAAAAGCCATTTGATTTGACTAAAAACTTAAGATGGCAGAAAAGTGCCTTGATAATTTTATTTTATTACAAAAAAGAAAACAAGCAATTAAAGAGAAATTCTTCCCAGAGAACTAAAACATGTTATACCTCTGACTTGGCACTCCTTCCATTCTGGAGAACTTTTTTGATAACTGCTTTCATCACAGAATGATCTAAAGTAAAATAAATTGAAATTATAGTAATTATTTCATAATAAGTGACTATTCCTATTTAAAAACAAAAGCTAACTAATCATTGTTTTCATAAAATTAAACATGAAATCCACATTATGTAATTATATACCTATCTCCCCCTTTGAGTATTCCAATTTCTTCCTCGAAAACCTAAGGTAAAAGTATGTCACCTCACATAGTGCCCCCATGGTGACTATTTTGGCAGCAGCAAAGATCAAATCTAAACACTCTGGATCTAAAGTGGCTTTGAATACCTTTGGATAGAAAGCAAAGAGTTGGGCACTGTCCGGACACTTAGACACCTACAGGGCCCCTAATACATCAGAGTCCTGATATTCCCTCAAAGCTGCTCCCATCCTCAGCCCCCTTCTCAGTAAGTGGTACCACCCAGTTGTACACATAATCATCCAGGACCTGTTTATTAATATTTCCTTCATACCCCACATCTATTCTATCTGCAAGTCTTGAGAACTACACCCTCAAAACACAACCGCAATTCAACCACTTTTCACCAGCTCCAACCTTCCACCCTAAGCTAAGCCATGGCCATCTTATTTGGACCACTGTGACAGTCTAACTGGTCTCCTTGTTTCCCTTCTTTAAGCCCCCACAAGACTATGGTCTATACCCGGGTCATCTTCTTGGAACACTATTCAGATCATGCCTTTTTCTAGCTCAAAACCCTCCCCTCATTTAGAATAATCCATGTCCTTACTTCGGCCTTCAAGACCTTACAAGATCAGGCCCCTGACTAGCTTCTTGACCTCACAGCAAACCATGCTCTCCCACACTCAGTGCTCCATGTTGGCCTCCTTGTCTTCCTTAAATACTCCAACCACCCTGCCACCTACGCGCCTGCATACTCATGGCTTCCTTGTCCTGGAATGTGCCTCCCTTAGATCTTCCACGGCTTGCTACTCTCATCAGTCAGGTCTCCACTCAAATGTCATTTCTCCAGTGAAGCTGCCCCCTGACAAACCTAATATAGTCCTACCTGCCCCTCTCAGTCTCCTTACTTTAAGGTATTTTTGTATTTCCTGCTATCTAAAATTACATTAGCTATCTGTTCACGCATTTCTATCTGAACTCCTCCACTAGAACATAAGCTCCATGAAGGCAAGACTGTCTATCTGCTTCACTGCTATATTCCCAGGGCCTAAACGCACGTCTGGCACACACCAAGTATTCAAAAATCACTTGTTAAACCGACAAATGAAAGGAATGCTCTTCCAAGAATTCAGAGGTTCCACAAGAAGGAAATAGTGTTCTTGGCAGAAGCAGGCTTACTATCTAGGTTCAGCTCCATTCAGAGTAGCAGCCAAGGACAATTTACAAGTATAATTCACTTTAATTAATAAATTATTTGCTGAAAACATAAGGGAAGTGCAAGACTGGAGAAGTATAAGATTAGGAAAGTAAACACATTAGGTTTTAAAAATGGTCAATACACCAATAAATCCTTCTTGTTTTGCTATTTGTTAATCTATAAAAAGAAAAAATGTGGTGACATACCAACAAGTGGATTTTTTCTTATATCCAGAACAACCAGAGTCCTATTGGTTTCAAGAGCCTTTAGTAAAGCTTTTGCTCCTTCGTTGGTGAGGCCACACTGCTGCAGGTCAAGTGCTTTTGATGAAAGACAAAATGTCATTTGCCAACTCAGTACCAATTAATATTTAGACAACCCTCACTTATGTGTGGAAGATTTCTGCACAAGATTAGTCATAGCAGGGTCTTAATCTTGGGTATTGAAAAAATAAAACCAGAAAAGTATATGCACACACATAATTCAAAATCCAATAAAAAACTCTCCTTGGAGCTATGATCATCCTGCCTTTAGAACCAATAAGCCACCTGACATATTTTACAATCACAGAGTTAAAGAATAACACTATAGGGGCCGGCCCAGTGGTGCAGTGGTTAAATGTGCACATTCCGCTTTGGTGGCCTGGGGTTTGCCGGTTGGAATCCCGGATGCAGACACGGCATCACTTGGCAAGCCATGCTGTGGTAGACGTCCCACATATAAAAGCAGAGGAAGATGGGCATGGATGGGCTCAGGGCCAGTCTTCCTCAAAAAAAAAAAAAAAAGAATAACGCTATAAAATCTATGAGTGAAAAACATCACAAAACGAATCTCAGTTCATAATTAGCAAGGTTGCTAGTAGCAGTATAAACCTCATAGGTAAGGAATTGAGTAGAGCTAGAAATTGCACTGCATCCTTTTGATCATGATCTTGAACTCCAAGTCACTCTTGAAACTAGTTAGAAGGGGAAAATAGAATAGAAGAAACGTAATAATTGTTAGTTGTAGAACAAAAAAGACAAAAAAAGAAGTCTAAGAGGATGCAAATAGTAACAAATCCAAAGAATGCGTGAATAGAGAATATACCCTAAAAATCTCCCGTGAAAGAACGACGGTCAAGAACTCTCTTGGTCAAAGGCAGACAGAACAAATGACCATGAACACTCGCAGTTCTGAGGCTAAACAACCTACTCATTCACACCAAAGGGGCCATCATAACAGCACACGTGTAAAAAATATTACATAAGAGGAAACTATCAGATCAGACTTTTTTTTAACTGTTACATATACCATTATATTAAAATAACTGGAGTCTTTCAAAATTCCATGATACACAGTAAAAGAAGTCAGATATATGGATCTGACTGGATATGATATAACCCTTACAAACCCTTATCACAGAAGAATGGACACAGGATATAATTAACCAACCAGCCAAATTAATAAAAATAGCCAGTAAGTCTAACTAGTAAATCAAATGAATACAAATTAAAACAATAAAATGTGATTGTTCTCCTGTCAGATTAAGCCAAGATCATATAACAAGAGCCTTTAAACTGCACATACCTTTTTTTTTTTTTTAGAAACGAAGTTCATTTTTTTTTTTTTTTAAAGATTTTATTTTTTCCTTTTTCTCCCCAAAGCCCCCCGGTACATAGTTGTGTATTCTTCGTTGTGGGTTCCTCTAGTTGTGGCATGTGGGACGCTGCCTCAGCGTGGTCTGACGAGCAGTGCCACGTCCGCGCCCAGGATTCGAACCGACGAAACACTGGGCCGCCTGCAGCGGAGCGCGCGAACGTAACCACTCGGCCACGGGGCCAGCCCCTGCACATACCCTTTTGATCCATCAATTCCTTCTAAGAATTTAACCAACAGAAATAATTAGAGATATAGGCAGGGATGTGTATGAGAGTACTGTTTATAACTGAACAACTGGCAACAGCTTATATATCTAACAAGAATTAATAAGCTAAGTGTACTATGGCATAGTCATATAATGGAACTCTGAACAGTCACTAAAAACGATGTGGTAGGTATAAATTTATTGACTTGTTAAGATGCTCATACTATATTAAGTGAAAAAACGTATAGGGGCTGGCGCTATGGTGTAGTGGTTAAGCTTGGCAAGGTTTGCTTCGGCAGCCTGGGTTTGTGGGTTCTGTTCCCAGACACAGACCTACACCACTTGTCAGCTAAGCTGAGGTGGCGACCCACATATAAAGTAGAGGAAGACTGGCATGGATGTTAGCTTAGGGCTAATCTTCCTCAAGTAGAAAAAAAAAAGAGGAAGATTGGCAACAGATGTTAGCTCAGGGCCAATCTTCCTCTATCAAAAAAAAAAGTTATAAAATTTGGAGTAATCCCACTTGCATAAAAAGGGGAGAAGGCAGTTTTATTTTTTTGTAGTTTTACAGCTTTAAAAAAAATTGAGGTAACATTGGTTTATCATATTACATAAATTTCAAGTGTACATCCTTATATTTTGATTTCTGTATAGTCTACATTGTGCTCACCACCAAAAGTCTAGTTTCCATCTGTCACCCTACAGCTGTCCCCCTTTACTTCTTTCACCCTCCCCCAAGTCCCATCACTCTCTGGTCATCACCAACTTGTTCTAGATTTAGAGTTCTTAAAAGTGACACAAGCCAGGGTTTGTGAGGGTGCAGGCCTCACATGCACTGTTAGAGTGGATCATAAATTGGCACGGCATTTCTGGACGGCAATTTGGCAAAATGTTTCAAATGTCTTAAAAATATGTCACACACAGTCATTCCACCTTTAGTAACTTATTCTACAGAAGCAATGCCAACGGACACACAAATGTATATATGAAGTGTTCACTACACATTGCTTCCCATAGGGAGCAGCACAAACTGCCTAAATCTAACTGCAAAGAATTGATTAAACTATTGCACATCAACGTAATGGAGTACTACACGATATTCATTGTGAAAAAAGCAGGGATATAAAACATAAGTACACTACGATTCCATTTTTGTAATCTCTAAGTGTACAAATATATTTATGGAAAAAAAAAAAGACTAAAAGTACATACCCTAAAAAGAACAGTGATTATGTCTAGGTATTAAGGTTACAGGTACTTTTGTTTTCTTGTTATTCTATATTTTTTTTACAAAGAATATTTATAACTCTTAGAAAAGTTTAAAAGCACAATAAAAGCAACTGGAAAAAAAAAAGCCTTTTCAGAAAAATCCTATGACAACAGTATTGTGCCAGAAGTTAAGCATATTTAATATTAAAAAAATCAGTTTCGGAATTTACCTCTAAGCCATAAATCCTCACTAAGAGATTCTGCAAGAGCACTCGCACCGAGGTCCCCAATGAGAGTGTTGCAATTAAAAGTGATGCGCCTCAAGCCAGCCATACAGTCAAGATCAGGTCTCCGATAACGAAGACTCTCAGCCCAGGTTTCTTCATGCCTCCTCATGGTCTGATACTTCAAAGATTTAAAAGGATGAAATTAAGATGCTTGACTAGGAAACAGGACAAACCGACTGAGTATGCCTTATGATGTCAGAGATTACACACACACACAGGTATATACGCCAGGAGAGTCAACCTGAGAGACTAAACAGTCGATTCTGGTTAGGAGTCCAGTGACCCAGACTCTAGCCTCCCATGATGAGCTAGACTCTAGCCACTGGATGACCTGTTGCTGATTAGTTATGTAAACTCTGGACAACTCAATTACATTCTACGAATTTTATTTTCCTTATCTGTGAAGCCAGGGAATTGGTTCTAAATTCTCTCATTCTGTTCTCCAGTATCTCCAACACTTGATTGGACATCCCACAAGTATTTTTTCAACATGTATCTTACTAATAAACTATATAAATGAAGTTTTGTACAAATATTTTATGTACATTATAAACTACGCAGACATCTTTTGAATGATACAAAAATAAATACAGAGGTTCTAATATTTTTTTCTCCTAACCCAATGGATCTCAAATACTATTTAGGGCATGCACACCAATTTTAGAGGTTTAGAATATGCAAAGCCAGTTGGACATGTCTTAGGAAATTGATGGCTTGATTTTTAACCACAGATATTGTTTTAAAGACATATTCAGTTCTATTTATAAAATAAATTTTGGTAACAGGGAACACTGACTTTAAAAAGACAAAAATCTTACTGTATTCTTGAATGACAAAAGACTCAAAGTTCCTCTGACATTCTAAAAGGAAAATCATTAGCATCCTTTCTCTATTAACAATAACTTACAAAAACAACAAGTGGAAATAACAGCAAACACATAGATAGCGCTCATCATGCACCAGGCACTATTTTATACAAATTCATTCATGTAATCCTCATGAGACACAGAGGTTACCTAATTCGTCCATGGTCATGAGCTATGAAATGGGAGAGCTAAAATTTGAACCTAGGCCATTTGGCTTCAGAATCCATGCTCACGACCGTTTTCTAGACTGTTTTCAAGGGGTCAGTGCACTTGCTCTGAACAGGCCCTAAAGTACATTTTTCAGCTACGTGGACCATACAGTTTCTGTTGCAACCATTCAACTTGACTGGTGTAGGGTAAAAGCAGCTGTAGCTGCTATGTAAACAAGGGCACGGCTATGTACCAAAAAACTTCACTTACAAAAACAGGTGATAGGCTAGATTTGGCACACTAGCCATAATTTACCTATTCCTCATCTGTACCATCAAACTATTAAAAAGGCTTCATGTCAAATTATTAAGTAATTTTAGGTCTAAATATAGTAGTTATAACCACTGTAAAGTTATGGAAGCATCATTTTAAGAACTATATTTATAAAATGCTAATGTAGTAATTTCTATTAGTTTATAAATTATAGTAGTTAAAAATTTGTCATTTAAAGATTGTAATATCTAAAGTTTATTCACATTATCACAATGTTTTCAATAACTCAAAATTCATAAAAGTATTATTTATAATGTATTTTATATTAAATTTCTTATTTCTAAGATTAAGTGAACTACCTTTACTAAATGGTAGAACCCCAAACTGAAAACTGGTCATATTCTTTCAAGAAAACTAAAAATACAATCACCACATGTATCAAGACAAAAACAAATGCCATCTCAAATCAAACTATTAATGTGCTTCAATCACACATTACATTCTCATGAAAGTTTAAACAAAATCACCTTTAAGATCTTGGCCATGTGATCTGCTCCCTGCCATGTCAGATTACACCCCGTGAAGTTTACTGTCTTAAGAGTGATAGAGTTCTTTATACCTTGACAAATAACTAAAAGGGAAGAAAAACCACACATACAATAAGATGAGGAGGCTATACAGTCTAGTCATCTTGACTTATTCACTTTTCTTGAGTCTACTGGAGGTTTACAGCTAGCTATGTTTTTAAAATCATTATCTACAATCTTCTCGGGCAACTGGTGGCTTGGTGGATTCTAAAAGATGTCAATAACAAAGTTTTATTCCAGTTTACTGTAAGTTTAATTCTATTTAGATGCTAAAATTGAATACTCTGAATATTGTAAATTTTATTCTCAAACACTCACTAAGGTACTATATACCTTTTAAGACACAGGAAAGAAAAAGAAAAATCTAAAAAGCATAAGACTCTTCCTATTTTCATTTCCAATGATATACCCTGATCTCGGTTATCAATCTACAATTTAAATGTCAACTATAAACCCAGAATTTTATTGTGTGTTATACAATATACCAGGGCAATATAAGATAGAGGATCTCATATTATCTGTCCCCTCAAATTGAAATGCAGGCTTCCTTATCCCTCCAGACCACTATAGGACACAGTGATACACACTACTTCTTCAGGACCCCAATCAACAGTCACCTTCTCTGTGATTACTTCCATGAAACACCCCACCAACACCACTGAGTTTCCTGGCCTTTTATATGCTTCCATAGCACTTTTATGTACTTCCTATTTTAGCACATACCACACTGCATTATAATTATGATTGCAGATGGATGTTTGAATTATTTAAAGATAACACTTTTTTCCTCTTTACATCTTGCTATTTCCCTTACCAAAATATCTCTTGAAGAGAAACCAGAAGAAGAGGAACAAACACAAAGAACAGAAAATACAAATACTATGTATTTGTGTGGCTTGTGGCTTAACACAACCTTACATAAAATTAGTTCAGAGTATCCAGCATGACAAACTTTCATGGTACAGGAGAGACTGGACCAAGGCTTGAGCAGGCACAGAAGGCAATCCAGGTAGAGGCAGCACCAAGGAAACGTACAGACTGGAACTAACATGGCGGTAAGGAAGCATGAGACCAGTCTGACGGGAGGAGACTTAAGATTGAAACTCACTTTCTAAACCGCCATCTCCAATTGGACAATTTGCAAGAGACAGGTTCACCAAAGTAGCTGATTTATTCAATCCCTTTAATGGGGAGAAAAAGTTAAAAAGTTTATTGGTTTAGTTTCCCCCAAAAGCAACTATCAAATGTTCGCAGGACACACTGGAGAAGGCTTACCTTTGTTAACATAGTTAAATCTCTCTCTCTCAGAACTAGCCCATTCAGCTCCAGGTTCTTTAGAGCACCCGAGGCACTTAAACAGCATTTCAGAGCTTTACATAACTGGAAGGTCACGTCTTTGTTTCTTATTGCAGGAACACGACTTCTGCAAACTTTATTTCTGTCAGAACCTAAAGCAAAGTATTGTAAAATTAGTGACTTCAATCACACATTTGATCATCTTTAAACAGCATCTGCTCTGTGCTAAGGCACAGGCATGACTCCTACCCTTACAGCCCTCTTTAAGGAGGGACAGGTAAACTCAAAACTTCAACCAAATGAGATATAAAAACATAAACCATGTGCGTAGAGGTTCGTATGGAAGCAAAGTTATATCCAAGTGATGGCTTCAAGACAACCCTGAAGCTGAATCTAGAAAGATGAGAATGACTACACAGAGTCGGAGCGGGAGGTGCATTAACTGCAGGGGAAGCACTTGCACAAAGGCCCCACACCCGACACCTGCCAGGCACTGTAACTACTGCAGGTGGGGATGACCAAAGGCCAGGGGTGCAAGCAGGAGAAGAGACAGAAATCAAAATAGAGAGGGTGGCCGAAGCAAGCCTGGGAGAGAATACGGCTTTCATCCCATAGTGATGAGGACCGGGGCTACCACTGGCACAGACAGATGCCTCTGCAGCTGAGCAAAGGGTGGCCCACTGCTGCGAGACCAATTAGACAAAGGGAATGATTAGAAAAAGGCACCTACTTCAGAGAGATTAGAAAAAACACCCCTTCCTCAGGGCCAACTAGCCCCAGGAGGCTCAGCAGAGCACAGCTCAGATTCCACGCCTCTGTGCAGAGCACAAGTTGTGCAACCAAGAGGCACTAAGCCTGTGTAAAGGAGCTATTATAAGCTGTATTTTAAACATATCTTTTCATTTTAGAAGCTCACTCAAGTCACGTAGGCAGATGACTGAGAAACTGAGCTCGGAGGCAGCAAAAGCAGCTAGAAGCTTCTGTAATAGTGCAGGCAAACATAAGTAAGGATGAAGAAACAAATCTAGGAGGTTAAAATCTACAACCCAGACCCACTGGATGCAAGAAATAAAGAAGGTTCAGTGAAGGAACTCTGAAGAGAACGGTCTAATACATTTTTCTTCCATTCAACGTAAAATATTGGACAAGATTAAGTACAGTGGCCTTGACTCTAAGTCCTTTCCAACTATAATTTTTTTTTATTTCTAAGTTATTTCTTTGGTTAAGTAAAGTCCTTTTAGAGGTACAGAACAACTCCTGCACCTGAATGAGATGCAGAGAATAATCTGACTTTTCTTTACCAGTGGATGAGCTGAACTGTCCTTCCAGAAGAGCTAACAGATGGCGCGAACCCCAGAGCCTAGGAAAGGGCCAGGCACATGACAGTGCTTAGGTTTTTTCAAATAAATCAACAACCATTTCTTCTCCTAGATCTTTGCATCCTATCTCTCTGCTGGCTACTTTCTCTCAGCTTATAAACATACTCAAGTGTATCCACTTAAAAACCATCTTTCAGGGCTGGCCCAGTGGCACAGCAGTGAAGTTCGCACATTCCTCTTTGACGCGCAGGGGTTTGCCAGTTTGGATTCCGGGTGGGTACATGGCATCACTTGGCAAGCCATGCTGTGGCAGGCGTCCCACATATAAAGTAGAGGAAGATGGGCACAGATTTTCGCTCAGGGCTAGTCTTCCTCAGCAAAAAGAGGAGGATTGGCAGCAGATGTTAGCTCAGCGCTAATCTTCATCAAAAACAAAAACAAAAACAAAAAACCATCTTTCAGACTTATGATTTTCTGGATCTTCTTTGTGGGTAACCTCAGCCTATCCCATGTCTTCAAACTTTTGTCCTCCCGGAAAGCCCAGATCTCCACCTTGGCCCAGACCCATCTAGTAGACACATTTGGATGTCCCACAGGCCCCTCATAAAGCATTAAAGATGAAGTAAAATCCTCTCCTCACTCCCAATTCCTTCCTCCTGTGCCCTGCGTCTCACAGAAAGGTGTTGCTGTCAACTGTCCCCCAGCCTTGCTGCTCTCCCTCCTGTAACTGGTCACCAGGCTCCATCCATTCTGCCTCTCTGATTTCCGAAATCCAGCCCTCCATTTCTATACCTCAATTTGAGCCCTTAGATTACAACCGACCCTCCTCCCAACCAACTGCCTTCCACACGGAGGTCAGAGTGAGCTTCTAAGTCAAAAGTCCATCTCATCATCCTTGAGTGTTTCCCAGAGCCTTCAGGATAAACATCCAACCTTTTGACAGCACAAACAAGGCCCCTCCCTGTTTGGCCTCCACCAGGTTTCCAGTCTCAACTCTCACTTCTTTCTCAAACCCTAAGTTCTAGCCCTGCACCTTAGCTTTGCCTTATTTATATTTTTCAAACTTTGACACAATCTCTTCCCTCTTGCCATCTGAGCAGCTTCCACACATCCTTAGAAAAGATGGCACCCCCTCCAAGAAGCCTTCCCTGAACGTTCCCTGGCAATATTCTGTGCTTTGCAGCACCGGAGCTCACTTCTTCCAGAGTCCCGACTGCCATGCTTGTGTTAGCCTGCTGCCTCCCCCAGCAGAGGGAGGTCCTCGTCTCCAGCAGCGCTGGGGGCTGACTGGGCTCATTCCAGTGCCAGGATACTTTACTCACACAATCCGCTTTATTCTAAGAACCCACTGAAAGAGCGGTTTTTAATGCCATTTTGCAAGTATGGGTATTGTAGTTCAAGAGTAACCTGCCCAGGCCACACAGTGTGTAAGCCCTGGAATTCAAATCCTAGGCAGCCTTCACTTCCCGCGCTTTCCACTACATGATGCTACTGTCGAATGCATAATAATGTCCCAAACTGTGCCAAGTGCTCTCCAGCATTAACTGGGCGAATCCTTGCAGTCAGCACAGAGTGGGTCCTGTTAAGCCCATGTTATGGATGAGAACACTGAGACCCGGAGGCCTCAAGGGCCACTGAGCTGGTGAGAGTCCTGGGCCGTACGCCCCGTCTCCTGCACACACCCCCGGCACTGCGCACCCGTCCCACCTTGCACTGTCCGGAATCTCGCGTCGCGGCGCCGACACGGGGGCCACTGGAGGCGGGAACGACAAACCTGTTTCGCCCAGCCAAGGCTGGAAGGAGCTCCTGATGGAGATCAGCGGCAGATCTCTGTTGATCTTGAGGGTGCTCAGCAGCGGCGGCCAGTCCACCGCGCGGAGGCGGTCGGCGTTAAAGTCCAGCACGCCCTCGCGCAGGCAGGCGCGCACGGCGGGCAGCGGCACCGAGTCCTGCAGCGCGCACAGGTACTCGTAGTGCGAGAAGAAGTCGGCCGCGCTGTCGCGGCGCAGCTTCACCGAGTCGATCATAGCCAGCGGCGGCCGCGGGGACGCCGGCAGCGGAGACGACGCCCGCCCTCGCCCGCCAGACCCCGCTCGCCTCCCGGCCTCACCGGCGCCCACGGCCCGGCGGCTGCGGCCCCGCTGCCAGCGCAGCAGCGGCGGCTCGGCCAGAAGACGCAGGGGCCCGGGCCGCAGCTAGGCTGGGCTCCGCCGCCGCGCTCCCGCGCCGCCTCCCGCCTCGCGGCGCCGGCCGTTGGCTCCCGCCTCACAGCCGCGGCGTTGCGATTCAAGCCGGCGGGCTGCTTCCCGCGGAGCGGCGCACGACAACGTCAGCGCGCTTGCCGTGCGTCCGCACGTAGGCCCCGCCCCTCGTGGAGGCGGGGCCTGAGGATGAGGGGCGGGACCTTCGAGGTAAAGGAGCTGCGCAAGGTAGGTCGCTCTCGGAACGTGGGGTTTCCTAAAAGGGTTTGCCGATTGATTGAATACAAGTGAGGTACGCATGTAGCAACGCATTTCACAGAGTGGTCCGAACTCCCGACAAGTGTCTGTGCTTGCACCGCCCGGGAGAGAGAGTACCGTCAATAAGGGATGTACAGACGACTGAGTGGATGTCCAGAGTCTCCATAAATCTTTCACGTCTGTGTTCGTCTTTACAAAGAACTCTTAATTTCTCTAGTTTCTTCTTACCTCCCACGGGTGTTGGCAAATTGTAAAGTGTCCTGTGAATTCAGGACAGTATTGTGATTACTGGTAATCACTGTTTTGAACTAGGTGGTGATGATGGTTAACTCTCTGGTAACTAGTAATTTCTGTCTCCTACGCATTATTTTAAGCCCTGTTTCAGTGTGAAATCATTTAATTTTCCTAACACCTCCACAAGGAATATACAATTGTTCGTCCACTTTACAAAAGAAAAGTGGAGGCAGAGAAAGTTAAGTAACTTACAGTGAAGTATGTAAGAACTCGGACAGCTGGTGTTGAATTAATTAAACAAGGAAGCCATCAGACTGATGTGGCTCTAATGTTGTAGTGGCAGCCTGCATAAGTAAACCAAAATCTAAGTCTAAGTGCCTGCTGAAGGTTAGGAAATCGAAAAGCTAAGGGTGCTGCCCGATTTGAATCAACTTTTGCTCAAACTCAAATTTTTGATATGCCTCAGTTTGTCTTCTAACATCTGCCTTGGAACCTGTGTTTGTGTCCAGTTTCTAGAACACACAAAGTCCTCCGGTCAGGCCTTAGGCATTATGTGTACAGCATTCCTCTTCCACTGGCTACCAACATAGTCCTGTACCACTAAAATTCCCGAGATGTGGTTGTGGTGGGGGAGACAATTCCTCTACCCTCTAGGTCCTTCTGGCTGGTCTGAGAATTAAACTGACATGAGACACAATAACAGGAGAAAAATCAAAGTTTAATAACATATAACATGAGAGAAACCCAGAAAAACTGAGTAACGTGCTAGAATGGCTAAAGCTGCCACCTTAAATACCATTTTCAGCTAAAGACAAAGGAGTGTGTTGGGGATAGTGGTTTGGGGCTTCACAAGGGAGGGAGGTAATTTAAATGGAGATGGAAATGTAAATGTTTGTTCAACAAGTGTTTGCTGGGCCGTCTCTATAGACAACGGGACTCAAGAGACAGAACTTTGATAAGAATGGGCTTAGCAAGGTCCCTCCCAGTCTACCAACACCCAGAGGTACCTATGGTGATCGTCTGTCCTGGGACCAGGCCGTCTATCTTAAATTCTTTTAGGCAGTTAGGGGGAAGGTCAAAGTTTCTTTCAGAGTCTCCTGTCCTTAAAAATAATCAAGCCAAAGAGACACATTTTGGAGTGGCCAATTCTGATCCTCCATGTGGTCAATGACTTTTCCATGCAACATGCTCAAATTATAATACAGCAGACACTCCTCTGTCCTCCAACCAGCTTATGAAATGAAAAATTACCATTCCTGTTGAAGAACCCTGTGGAACCACTCTCTCAATCACCACCACTCTCTAACTGACCCTGGGTAATCAATACCACTCTTCTGAATTTGGTATTCATCATTGCAATGTATCTCTTTATATTTCTGCTACATTTGTAAGTATTTAAACAGCTGATAACATTCAACTATGTTTTCTTCTGCTGCTTGCTTTATTTAGTGTTATCTTTGCTAGGTTCATCCATCCTGACGTGTCTAATTCATATACTCTCCTTGCTATATAGGATTCCCATGGAGGAAAATGCAGCAATTTGTCTGTTTTCCTGTTGTGGGGGACTGGAATTGGCTACCCCAAGATATGTCTCTTTGGCATGAGGATTATTTTGGGCTGGTTACTTTTAAAAACTGCAGACAGGAAAGAAACTCTGAAAAGTAGAATTTACTTACCCTTGGTTAAGAGACATTTACATTTATAAAGGAAATCTCCATCTGTAAAGGTGTCTCCCTCTCTGCACCAGGAAGGAGGGGGGATGACCTTATCTCTAGAAGCTCTCATCAATGTAGAAGGCAAGGACTCAAGTCTGCATAATAACCTGACTCTTGTTTACTATACTTGTGTGGTAATCTCCCATAGCTGACTCCCCCTACCCCCAACATCCTCCTTTGTCTTTAGCTGAGGATGGTATTTAAGATGAGAACTTCTGCCATTTTGGTGAGTTGCTCAGTTTGCCTGAGCCTCTCCCATGTATACATGTTATAAAGCTTTGTTTAATTTTCTCCTGTTATGCTGTCTCACGTGAATTTAATTTGTTTTCTGGCCAGAAGGACCTAGAGCGAGTAGAGGAAATGTCTTCCTCCCCTACACTGTTGATGGAAATTAAATTGTTTCCAGTTTTCAGTATGATTTCTTTGTTGCTACATCCATTTTTAGTCTCCAGCATCACTTAATGTCATTGTCCACGATCTTCCTAAAGCTCCCTCTTCCCTGTTTTCCATGAAGCCACCTAATCTTTTTATACGTCTCTAATTCCTTCTCCTCTGTCTCACTCTTGGCATCTCTTGCTTACCTATTCTAAATGTTGGTGTTCTTCAGGTTCGCATCCTTAGCGTCTATGCCTTGTGACGTTTCAGTTTCTCTCGGGAATCTGGTCTCCTGCTCAGGCCTAACTACCCCCTCCAGGCTGATGACTTCTAACAAAGATATCTCTCTCCATATATCAAACTGCCTCCTGGAAAGCCAAAGATTTCTCATTGCCCTCAGCATCAGATCTGTATTCCTTAGCTTGCCGTATAGGCTCCTTAATGATTTGACTACCACTTTTGTCTTATTTCTTGCTACATTCCTCCATGAATGTCTTCTCTAGACTCATGGAACTACTCGAAGTTTCTGACATTCTATCATTTCTGCCTGGGCCCTTATAGATGCTGCTCCTTTACTTAGGACGCTCCTCCTCCATGCCTTCCTAGTGAGCTAACTTCCACTGGTTTCCCAGCTTCAGCTTGGAGGCCACCTTCCCTGGGAGGCCGTCTTTCCCTAACCCTCATCTTTCCGCCCTTTCTTTTCTTTTCTTTTCTTTTTTTAATATTTTTTATTTTATTTTGTTTATTTTTAATTTAATTTTTTTTTTGAGGGAGATTAGCCCTGAGCTGACATCTGCCGCCAATCGTCCTCTTTTTGCTGAGGAAAACTGGCCCTGAGCTAACATCCATGGCCATCTTCCTGTACACGTGGGATGCCTGCCACAGCATGGCTTGACAGCGGTGTGTAGCTCCGCACCCAGGATCTGAACCGGTGAACCCCGGGCTGCTAAAGTGGAACATGTGAACTTAACTGCTGCACCACTGGGCTAGCCCCTTTCTTCCCTTCTTGTTTAGTGCCTCACTACTCTGCTCCTTGACATCCCTGTGTCATAACATCCAATGATAAGCATCTTTTTAGATGGTTTTCCTTCCATAGACTGTAAGCACTTTGAAGGCAGGAACCATTTCTCATTCATGCTTATATTCCCTATGCCTAGCACGGTGTTGGTACATAGAAAGTGCTGAATGATGACTATGGAAACATTCTCCTCTGTTCTCTGTACAAGTCATCACCAGCACCTTGTGGCTACTGCCTAAGGATGCAGCTCAAGGAAACCTTCATCATCTTAATTAATCTTTTAACATATTAACTTAAAATTTGTTTTCCCTGAGCTTGCTTATTTTCTGTCTGGCAAGATTTCTTTCAAGGCTTGCCTGATAATCTTTTCTCTGCTTCCATTTAATTATGGCTTCATAGTTCTCCTTTTGGCTCCTATGGCCTCAATTCTCCTTTCAGTCTCTGGTGGGTTCTACCCACGTGCTTCCCTGAAAGTGGTGAGCAAAAGCTGCCTCCCCACAACGCCTTGGGGATCCTCTGATAAGCCAGGTTCATGCCTGACCAAGACAAAATGCCTTGGCTTCCCTGCAGGTTCATGGCTTGGGAGGGACATGCCTACTGCGCAGTACAAGAGATGGGCTTTCCTTTAGAGGTCTGCTCAGTGAATGTTTGACTAGAATACAGTTAAGTGGGATCACTTTACCTCTTACTCACTGAACTCTATTCCCAGCCCGTCCTGACTACATTATACCTAGACTCCCAAGCTAACTTTCCTTTCATGCAGCCTCAAGGCTAATGCCACCTGCTCAACTCTAACATTCATTTTCTCTGGAGCTGCTTTCGGAGCAATGAGTTTGTTGGATCCAGTCGCAGAGCTATGTCAACAACATCGGCTGTCTTATTTTAACTGACATATGCTCCCCATTTCTTTTCTCCACTCCCTTCCTTATAGCTATTTACAATGGCTCCTTCAAACCTCCTCCACTCTTTTCATGTCTCAGCTAGACTCTGTTCTGTGTCTCTGCTCTCTCACCTGAAGAGGACACGTCTTGTTTCACCAGGAAAATAAGGTTTCTGACACAAAGTTCCTCATCTTCTTTCCGCTAACTCTGGCTGCCTTCCAGTCTGTGCTCCATAATGCAGTCACCACCACCTCCTCTTCGAATCTTTCCATGACTTCCCGTTGCTCTTAGGGTAGAGACAGACCTCCTCACAGTGATCTAAAATAGTGCTTCTCAATGTGGCGTCTGCAGACTGGCTGCTGGGTTGAGAACTGTTACTGTTCTGTAGGATAAGAAGCTTGCTTCAAAATGTAAGTCATGCACTAAACATACTGTTTAGTTCAGCAAGCAAGACTTTCTTGATGAAAGAAGCAGTGTGCTGAGTTACATTCTAGACCAAGCTCCTTATCTCATTGTGCACCGGTACTTTGAGTGCACTAGAGCATGGGGCACCGCATCCCCTAGGTGTGATGGGGGCATG